GTGAGTGATTATCACACTGCTGGAGGGTATAGAAAATGGTATATAAGTTGGAAGGAGTCCGAATAAAATTTGGCTTCAGTCCTGATCAGACTGTTCCCAGAAGAACTGCCTCCGAGTGGTCTCTTCTCGCTGTCCAGATTCTCTGGTGCGGGTCCTAACCCACCCTTGGTCAGTGCTGGTCACCGACACTATGCTGGTATTAAAACTTTTTCCCCTTCAGCATTAAAAAGTGATTAATAGGTGTTGCCATTTCTATCTATTTTCAATTATTAGAGTTCTGGAAAAATAAAGACTAATACACTAAAGCCACAAAATACTTGTGACAAAAACATTATTACCTTTGGTCTTTAACTTTTTAATTAAAAAATAAAAATATCTCAGTTTCTATTAGTTCTAATACCCTTTTAAAGTAGAGTTTTCTCTCAAAGTTTTGTGCAAATTACAACTCTATAACATTGAAAATAATTTAGTCTTTTAGAAATGATGAAGCAAAAAAAAGACGTATAGACTCTGATGGTATAATCAGTGACAGGCTTAACACATTTAAAAAATAAAGTTCAGTTTCTTTTTCAATTTAAAAAAGTTTTACTTAATTGTTTAAATAAAATATAACATTAAAATAATTTCTACATATAATTACAAAGGATGGTAGAGCTTGAAAAAGTCTCTTGTAATTCTGAACAGGTGAACATGATGAATCCATGATGTTCTAAGAATATAGAAGAGTTAAAAACTACAGACTTTGAGTCCTTGGTAAAACCAGAGGAACCGCAAGACCTCACTATGAACACATTCACGTCAGTCAACCACTTTTATGGAATGGACACTAGTGAGAGACTGGGTGTGAGCAGATCTGGTTCCGAGTAATCTGGAAGCTGAGGCACCGCTTTCAGGATGAATGGTCCGGGGATATTTTGCTGCAGTTGCTTGAGAAATGGTTTGCTGAAAAGATAAAAACCTCCTTCAATAATCCTGTAAGATTACATATGTTAAGTATCATTTCATCATCTATAACTTAAAACAACAAACATCTGCTGGGTGTACAGTGATGCAACGAGTCGGGAGAAGTGTCTGTGAAACAAGCGGAGCCATTCTCCACGGGAGCCCATCCACAGTTTGACTGATGTCTTGGCACCCATAAGTGAACGTCAGAGCTATCTGCCAGAGGATCATAAGAAGAGCCAAGGCAGGCATTCCTTGGAGAGGATTCGGGGGAACCTTGTCATGTGTACAGAGGCTAAGCCTAGAAAGAGACTGCAGTGCACGGAAGAGGGGCTAGCTCCAAGCCAGTTCCATGCAGTTTCTTGGCTTCATTTGACTGTCATTCATGGGGTCCAATCCCAGGACACACGGGGACACCCTGAGGCTGCAGCCTGGGCTTTGACGCAAACCAGAGCCCTCATTCACTCTTCTGCACACGCTGCCTTCGAGCTCAGGGAAGCAGTGAAGCCAGGGCACATGTGATCCGGCCTACCCACATAGTGTGTGTGAGTACGTACTATGTCCACCAAACACACATCACATGCAGACATGTGAGGAGGGGACCCCCCAAAAGCCCGGAATTATCTTTTGGAGGGTGGGCCCCTTGCAGTACAGGCTTCTCCTGCTAGGTCTGTGTTCCAGGAACCCACTGGCACCCACGTACCAGCTAGCATTGCTGTGAGAGGCTGCTTTTGGCTTCAGTAAATTTCTTGGGGAGATTCCTTTCCCTGCATTTGCTCATTTCATGATGGGTGATTTGCAAGTGCACCTGCCCACACTGCACTGAGTGTTCAGCAGTTTTTGACCCCAAGTGGCAGTGACCCTATGCCCCACCCTCCCTGTTCACCCGATCTTGCCTGAAGTGACAATTTTTTGTTTTCCCTAGATGAAAAAAGTCCTCAAAGGGAAATGTTTTGCCAGTGTGGCAGAAGTGAAACAAAAAACTGGCAGAAGCCAAAAATGCATCAAAAGGGATGAGTTCAAAAACTGCTGTGATCAGTAGAAAAAGCATCAAATGGAGAGTACTTTGGAGGTGACTTAAGTTTAAATATATAAGAATAAATACACAATTTTTAATAAATAAATTCCAGGTTTTTGGGCGTCTCCCCTTGTACAAAGAATATGTGTAAATACAAGGCTTTCCTCCATTATATCCAATAACGCTTCTTAGAAGGCACAGTGGGATTTATTTTCAAGGTATTTTCTTAGTCCAGGTCACTGACTAGTACATGTAGATTTCTATGAGGGTCTTTCACTTAGAAATGTCATCTTTAAAATACTTGAAGTAAAATTATATATATATATGTTTGGTCAAAACATTCACTAAAAAAAAATGAAACTTCTTAAAAACGAAAGGCCTCCATGTCAGATTCTGTCTTAAAAAGAACAGAATTCCTTTTCAAAGACATGGAAGAACAATATCCGCTTAAAAAGTGTCTTATGTACATATTTCTTTGTATATAAATAACTGGGTAGCCATTATAAATGGGAGATACTCTTGCAGCTGGTATGACACTTTAGTTGCCGAACACTTAATCTGACCCTACCAAAGGAGCTATTTCCCCTTGGGGAGGATGGGCAAGAGGATATTTGGCATCATGACACACACAATGTGGCCGTGAATGAAGCAGTACTAGGAGCAGCAAAAGAGCGATTCAGCAGATGAGACTCCGGCGCTAAAGAGACAGAGGTCTGCTTTAACAATCCCATAAGATTACACACAGCAAGTAATAACCATTTCTGGGAGGTCTAGGTTTTGACTCCTGCCATCGTGTCTGTCACGTAATCCAAATTTGGTAAGAATGGAGGCAGTAGTCTTGGGCTACCCAGCTCCTATCCAATACTAGGAAGTGCTGCATGGATGGAATAAGCAGTTTGAGAGATAAATGTCAGACACAAGAGTTGTACGTTTTTAGTCCTCGGATTTTTCTTCTGCAAAATAGGAATTTCTATCATGATTACAAAAGCACATCTAAATTAAAATAAACACACTCTCTTTATGCCTTCTTTACCTCACAAATGGAGTCTCTCCCTACCTCTTTATACACATCCTATGTGATGACAAAAATAGAATGGGGTCATTTCTTCTCGTTTTTGATAATTAACATTCTATATTAAAAAATATACAGAACTCCTCGATGAACACTTGGAGGTTCCACTGAGATAATCTCCTCTGGCAGGCCATCCTCCAGCAAGAGGTCCCCAGCGAGATTCTTCCTCACCTTCAGTCCAGCCAGCTCGAGAGGCAGCCTCTCACTCCAACTCTCCCCCACGCCCTGGATAAGTTTTAAGGAGGCGCCCCTTGCTTTTCCCAGGGCTCCCATAACCTCTCCTCAGACTCGGAGAGAATAGAAACGACAGCTGGCCCTCTCATCTCCAAAAAAACCTGAGCGTCTCCCACGGGCTCTTCGCCTTGGCGTTAACTTGCCCAGTCAAACTACTGAATAAATGGCTGGGCTCGGTGGCTCAGCCTGTAATCCCAGCACTTTGGGAGGCCGAGGTGAGTGGATTGCCTGAGCACGCGGGTTCAAGGCCTGCCTGGGCAACTTGGCGAGACCTCATCTCTACCATAAATCAAAAAAATCAGCCAGGCGTGGTAGTGCACGCCTGTAATTCCGGCTACTAGGAAGGCTGAGGCGGAAGGATTGCTGGAGCCCAGCAGGTCGAGGCTGCGGTGGCCGGAGCGGCGACAGAGTGAGACTCCAACTCAAAAAAAAAAGATTGAATAACTGAGACGTCAGACACTGATGAGCCTACAATTGCCAACTTTACAATTTGTTTATCTGTACAAGGTACCTGATTTATGAAGTTAAATGCCAGAGCTCTAAAAAAAGTATTCTTGCTTAATGTTTACTATAGTCTGTTAATAATTAATATAAGCCGGGCTCGGTGGCTCAGCCTGTAATCCCACACTTTGGGAGGCCAAGGCGAGTGGATTGCCTGAGTCCGCGGGTTCGAGACCTGCCTGGGCAACTTGGCGAGACCTCATCTCTACAATAAATCAAAAAATTAGCCGGGTGTGGTAGTGCGCGCCTGTAGTTCCAGCTACTTGGCAGGCTGAGTGGAAGGATCGCCGGAGCCCAGCAGGTTGAGACTGCAGGGGCCAGGAGCAGCCACTGCACTCCAGTCTGGGCGACAGAGTGAGACTCCAACTCAAAAAAAAATTAATATAATCTGTAAATGATTGGTATAGTCCATCAAAAACCGATATAATCCACTGTTAATTGGCTTGGTCTGCTAGGTTAAGTTCGTCTGTTAAGAGTTGGTTCTGCCTATTAATGCTCAGTATAGCCTGTTGGTGACTACTTTTGTCTGTTAACACGCTCTATGTCATTACCTGTTTTCTTAACGGTTTCTATAACATTTCTACTGGCGACAGACGCCCCCAGAAAAATAAAAAACTCCATTCGTATGAACCCCGACTCTGTCCGGTCTGTGCAAACAGATTCCCTCAGGTGACTGGGGGCTTGCAAAGGTGTCGGGGATTAATTCCTGCGACGTGCAAGGGCCTCACAGGGACGGTTAGGACACTTCAGTCATCAAGGACTCGGCGGGTCCAAAAAGCCTCAGGCTTGATCCGATGCTCAACAGACCTAAATGCCAGATCCCGACAACGGTGATTAGACCAAAAAAAGGTCTTCAAAAGACAGATCGCCCCAAAGCTAAAAGGTTCTCTCAGTGTTCCTGAGGGCTGCCCCATCCGGGGAGCACATATAAAGACTGGTCATCAGCCAGGTTCGGTGGCTCAGCCTGTAATCCCGCGCCTTTGGGAGGCTGAGGTGAGTGGATTACCTGAGCCTGCGGGTTCGAGACCCACCTGGGCAGCGAGACCTCATCTCCACAATAAATCAAAAATCAGCCGGGCGTGGTAGCGCATGCCTGTAATTCCGGCTACTTGGAAGGCCGAAGCGGAAGGATCACCGGAGCCCAGCAGGTCGAGGCTGTGGTGGCCGGGAGCGGCCACTGCACTCCAGTCTGGGCGACAGAGTGAGACTCCAACTCAAAAAATAAATAAATAAATAAATAATAAAGACTGGTCATCCAGCACCTCGCGGCCTCTCTGAGTGCTGTTAGCGCTCACAGAAAAAACCACGACAAAAAAAAAAAGACAGAAAAACAACTGGCAGGGTCACAGCCGCCAAGCGCTCCCTCCACAAACAGTACACTTTGACCCCAAACACCTAGTGCCGTCCCAAGTTAAAAATTGCCTGCCCAATCTATCTTGTCTCCTCTCAAACTAACTGGTCTGTTTACACTCCTGCCCATTGTGGCACAAAGGCTGTTGTACCCGCTGCCCTAGCACACACCCTGGTAAAACAATTACATTCTGTCACTCATCTAGGAGGCACCAAAATGACTAAATTGCTAAATTGTCATTATTATATCAATAACTTAAAAGGCCTGGCTACCTTGACAGCTAAAGCATGCCTTGCTTGTGCCCAAGTTAAAGCAAACCAAGGTCCTAAAATTTCTAATGATATTAGAGCCCAAAAATTAAGCCCAAGAAAAAAATTAAAAATAGACCTTACTGAGATAAAATCCCACATGCAGGGTACAAATATTTACTAGTATTTGTAAATACTTTTTTTGAATAAATAGTTTTGCCACAAAAAATAAAACTGCACTCACTGTTACAAAATTTTTATTCAATCAAATCGTTCCTAGGTTTGGTCTCCCCCTCTCGATTAGCTCTGATGACGGTCCTGCCTTTACCTCGTCCATAGTTCAGCTGGTTAATAAAGCTCTAAATATCAACTAAAAATTACATTGTATTTACTGACCACAGAGCTCTGGACAGATAAAACACATGAATCAGACGTTAAAATCAACTTTAACTAAATCAATAGTAAAGACCAATAAAAAATGAATAAATCTCCTGCCTCTGACCCTTCTTTGGCCCGGTATGCCCCATATAAAGCGAAGGTCGCTCCTTGTAAAATTGTGTTTAAAGGCCCCCCCCC